TGCGCCTGCTCCGTCCGCACTGCTGGCCAGGGACAGGGTGGAAGGTCCCCGGCCGCTCGTTGCTCTTCTTTCACCAGAGTATTGGTGCAGGGAGGATGGTCTCAGCAGGAGTGCAGAGAGCCTAGGGTTCCCTTGGAGCGCAGGGCTAGACGCACCCGCTGTATTTGGTGAACAACTCTTGGATTGGACAAGGGAGAAGAAAAATTGGACAAGACAAAAGGGACCGTTTAGGAAAAAGGACAAGATCTTGGGGGGTGGGGTGGCTCTGACCTCTGTCTGGGTGCCTTTTTGCCTGCATCCAAGCGTCTGCCAAGCAGACCCCAGGCCAAATTTGTGTCCAGGAAAGTCAGTCTCAGTAGCAGGTACAAGGCCCATCTGGCAAGAGCACACAGTTAGCAGTGGTGGGGACTCCCGAAAGCCCCTCCTCCGCCAGCCTTTCCCTCCCCTTTGCCAGGCCTCAGAGAGTCCTTTCTCAACTTCCATTCTATTTTACAAGTGGGACCGCCGGAGACTTTTGATGCCCAAACAACAGAGCGGAATATTTGAGGTTTCTAGACTTCAAACTGCATCTCCCTCCATCCTCTCTCTGGGCCCCCTTGCCCTGCAGGGTTCATCCGGAAAGGAAGCTGGAGGCACTGAAGGGACCCAGGCTGCGCCTTCCTTGACAACCCCAAATTAAATTAGACTTCAGCCTCTGAGGTGTGTGTGTGTGTGTGTGTGTGTGTGTGTGTGTGTGTGTGTGTTTCAAGCACTCAGCCCCCACTGGGGGAACACTCTGATTTTTAAAAATGGTAGCAATTGCCCTTGAATGGCAGCCGGCCCAGTGAGGCGACCCAAAAGACTCGAAACATTTTGTAGGTGAAATGGCCACTTTTTCCACGCTGGAGAGTCCATAAAACTTCCTGGCTCAGCAGCTACTGGGGCTCATTGAATAATTCATCCCTCATTGCAAGCCCATAATGTCTATTCTGGGCCCTTTGTGGGGCTGTTTTCTCTTCTTTTCTCCTTGAATTATAAAAAGGCTGCCTTCCTTTGTTCACATCAAGCTGCTCGGTGCTGGAGCTTTGTCTGGGCCAAGCTAAAGTGTGAGTTTCAATGGACTCTCCAGGCTTTGTCTCCCAAGTTCATCTCCAAGTGTAGATTGTGTAGAGAAGGCCTTCTTTGTAAACGCTGGAAAAGTTGTACAAATGTTTGACCAGCTCATTTGGGACGTTTTGTCTCCTGGGCCTCGGTTGTTGCGGCTGCAAGGGAGCGGCTGCTCTGCCTGGCTGCCACTTCGAGCTCGGAGCAACAAGTAGCAAAGCCATGGATCCTGGCAAGGCCTCCCCCACAGCTACACTAAAATAGAGCCTCTCTTCTAGCCTCTGCTTTAAGAGCCCATTGGGCCTGGGAGAAGTCTGGGTCCTCAGCCCTCGGCCCTCTTTCACCCTAGCACCCCTAGACTGCAACTAGGGCTGGAATAAAAACCGGAGATGACCAGAAATGCATTTATCCAGGCTGACACAGGGTTCACAGGAGCCCTACTGTAAACACAGAAGTAACAGCATGCCCATCTCCCTGCTCAACTTTCTTCCATTCCGGATGCCTTTTATTGGTTATATGTGTGCCCTAAAACATCTGTATATTAGAAGTCAGGCACTTGGTTGCTAACATCCAACTCTAAATATCGAGGGTGCCTTTGTATCGGTTTGTAAGGCTGCTTTTCTGGAAGGTCAGCAGTTGTCCCAAGGCTACAATGAAGATTGAAAAAAAAAAAGATACAGCAATCTGTCTGCTAGAGCCATCTTCCAGCTCATCCTGGAAAGCTCTGGTAGAAAAGAGTTCTTCCTTTCTGTAAACCTTTATTTTCGAAGATGACTCCAAGCAGGTAATAGTGAAACAGCCTGTAATTCTCGATGCCCCGGAGGGAGATTTTTCTTTTGGTGCTGACAGGCCACAGCCAACATGGAGTGGGTGGTCTGTACCCCTGGGGGACAGAGGGTGATAACACCAGGGAGGCTCAAGAACACAGATCCCTTTGACCCAGATTCCTATAATGCTATAATGTGGGCACCGTCTGTTGCCAGACACATACAGGTTACATATCCCTCATCCTACTTGAAAATAAATGAACCATAGCCAGTTTATGTACACACATGCACGAACACACACATGTATAAGGCAGCAGGGGTGGGGCATCTTTGGGTTCCCACTGCCCAGAAGAGTCATGTTCTCATTAATTCTCACCCACGCGCACAGTATTTTCCAGAGTGTAAAATCTACTTCAAGTTCCGAAGACTTAATTAACAACCCCCATATTCTCCGCCCATATATTTTCAGAGCAGCTTAGTTTTCATCTAGAAAGCGTCCACCTGCAAAGCATTTCAGACTTCTCGACTCCAAGGAACTGGAAATGGTGGAGAATAAAACTCACAATAGCTTAGAGTTAATATTACTGGAGGTGGCACGTGCTGAGCAAGTATGAGGTACCGGATTCGAGATCCAGGAAAATAAAATAAAAATTAGAATAGAGAAGATGCTTGTTTAATACCAAGTACCTCGCTGGTCTTTCACGTGAATGTCCTTCCCAAGAGCAGTAGCTGTGACCGAGGCCGGAGGTGGGCTCTGAGATGAGCCACGGCCTATTTGCGGTTGCGCAGACCCAGAAGTCTTAGAACCAAGCGCTTGGTAGTTGGAGCTCACGGCCCAGTGGGGCCCCTTACCTCGCTCGCTCAGGATGCCGTCGATGCTGTGCTTAGTCTTTTTCTCGCTTTCCTCGGCTTCCTTCCTGTCTAGATCCACCTCCTCCTCTTCTCCTTTTCCAAATTTGCTCCTCAGGATCCGGCTGATGGAACTCACTGGGATAAGAGGAGGAAGGGAGCATACAAGTTTGAGAGACGTAGGGAAGAATCCCAAAGAAGAGACCTCAAAGGCCCTGCCCAGGCGCTCAGCCCTTCTCCTGGGCAGGGATCATCATTGCTGTGTCCTGCCTCTGTTGGCATCCGAGTATTTCTGCATTCTCTCCGGTCTTAAAAAAACCCCTCACACTTTCGTGGAGTTTTAATTGCTTAGACTGGAACTGGAAACCAGAAACCTCGCAGCACCTCCGATTTAGAACCGAGAAATGTTACCTCTGTCCCTCTCCGAGAAGAGGTGAGCTACTTGCCTCTGAACACCCTAAGAGGCTCCCCACCAGCTCACCCTTCACCGTGACCCTCCCCACACTGGGTCCCAAAGTCCTGGTAAGAAGAACCACTGAGGGCCTGCCGCCTGCAAATCAACTTGTTTTCAGGATAGAAAGGGTTTAAATTTCAACTGCAGAATATTTCCCTATTGTAAAAATCAAAAGAAAACGCACTCTCTACGATTTATTTTTTCCAGATTCCAGTCTGGTAAACAAATCCATGCTCTGAAATATATCGTTCTCACAGAGGGAAAAAGGGAGTTCCCTTTTAATTAAAAACAAACTCTTCCCGCGCGGAGGCCCAGCGCTGGCCCTTCTCTTCCCACCGCCCCCCCACCTCTCCCAAGCTGCCAGGATGCTGGACCGACTCTGGAACTCCTGGGGAAATCGCGTCTGAACGAATTTTCACCCTCTTTACTGCCCCAGCCAACTCTCCACCGGTGTGGCTTGGATCTCCCTTCAGTAGAGGTTACCAAAACATTGGTTTCTCTTTAGAAGGGAACATCAATACTCATAATCATTTGGCCTGTGCCCCGCATTTCGGCATTTCCGTCCCAGCCTCCTTAGTAGAAGAAATCCGTTTGCGGGAAACCTCAGGTCACCCCCCCCCCAAGCCGCCACTCTGGGGACCAGCAGTTCACCCAATACTCTATAAAACATCAAGAATGTCTGGCTTGTAAATATTTCTGGGCAGTCTTCTAATAGCCGCGATAGATAACTGGGGCGATTTTATGGCTGGTGTGTCCCACTGGAGTATGAGACTGACGGTCGCGCCTCCGGGAAAAGTTAATGGACCCAGTACCTGAGGGTACAGTGTTCCGATCACAGACAGCGTCCTTGAGCAGTTTGTCTCGAATTTCCCAGCTGAACATGCCCGGGTTTTCTCTTTTGTATTCCTCAATTTTCTTCTCCACGTCAGGCGTTGTCACCTGCTTTAAGAGATAGGCGGGTGGTTCGTTGGTACCCAGTATTGTGAGCCCGATGGGATGCCCCCACCTCAGGGTCTGTTGGATGCCCCTTCATGCATTCTCTGGGAATGTCCCTCTGCTTAGCCAAATGACTTCAATTCAGTTTAGAAAGAAGCAGACAGGAAATTATCCCATTCGGGACAGCCTGGAGACCCTCCACCTGCCCAAAGACGCAAGAGCAACCAGATTAAATTAAGAAAAAAAAAGTAAGATTGGAGGTAGGGGCTGTAGAGTCTGATCACCAGAAACTGCAGGGAATCCACATAAAAACGAAACTAAAAGGAGAATGCTGGAAAGAGCCACAGAAAAATCAAATTACGTCAGTTCCGAAGAGGTCAGAGCTGAGCTAAGAAAAGAGTAGAATGAGATTTCAAAGACCATGTATCCAGGTTGTGTTATTGTTGTTGCTGCTTTTAATTAAACAAACATAGATAACCTGAAAGAATGACTCTTTCTCCCACTCAAATAAAACTGTCTCCTCAGATTCTCAGGTTAAGTGAGAAAAATGGGGAGAGAGAGGAACTGTATTTTGGGAGTCTTCAGTGTCCACCTGATTTTACTCCCCACCTCTGACAACTAGAAAATCATACTGGCTTCTCTGCATAACCCAAAAAGAAGGCAGGTCCTTCTCCTCCCACTCTCTAGCCTGCAGGACTTTCTTGCTTATTAATATATATACATATATATATACACATATATATATAACATAATTTAAGGATCTCACAAAACTACTTTTCAAAAATGGAGTCAAGAGGCTTATTATAAAAAAAAAAAATAGCCCTGACTTCTGACTTCGTGAAAACAATTCGCCCGGAGGTTGGGGGGCGGTGTGGTCCAAAGCTGGGAACGAAACTGTTCAAGAACCAAATTGGAATGTTTAGCTTCATTCTAGGATGCTGTCATTATTGGGGGCTGGGAAGACTGTTGGGGAAAATCGGCAATGATTGGGCTTGCTTTAGGTGTTTATTAAAATAATTTGCTGAGGTTTTCAAGGTTCCTAGGCATCAAAAACTAATGTTGCGTCCCTTTGCCAAAAATGCAAGCCTTTCTCCAGTGTTCCAGGACCACCTCAACCATAACAACTGAGTTCTACACACACAAAAACGCGTCTTCCTAGATATGAGGTATAACTCCCTTGAAAAGTCCCTTACTCCCAGCTAGACAGTGCCTCCGCCCCACCCGCTGGACCATGTGCCCCGCGTCCACGAAACTAGGCCCCAGACTCACCTTGGGCTTGCTGCCTCCAATGGCACCAGGACGGATGGAGCCTGTCTCCTGGTACCTGCACAGGATCTTAGAGACACAACCGTGGGACACGCGCAGCTGGCGGGAGATGACGCAAGGCCGAATGCCATGGTGGGCCATCTCCACGATCTTGTGGCGGATGTGGTTGGGCAGAGGCCTGCCGTTGATAAATACTCCTCCGAGCTGGTTGACCCGGCCCTGGCCAAGGGGGGTGGACACTGGAAAGAGAATGCAAAAGAGAGACCAGACAAAAGTCATTTAGAAGAATAGAAGGAACGCAGCAGAAAGAAACTAATTCTGCAACCTTCCGGTCAGCCCTCCTGTGTCAGTCAAACACCAGCTATCAGGCTTTCGACTCCCAGTCCGGGACCCTTACGGTTATGATTGTTCAAATAATTACGCACTGCAGGGGCATAAAATCTTTCGGAAATTGAGTAATTGCCGCAAGATAACTTGCTGCAGAAGAAACTGTATTTTCTCTTTTTGGGAGAAAGGGGGTAGTGCACGTCGGAGGGAGAACCAGGGCTGGCGCCTAGACTATCTTGCAATAACTGCAACAGAATCCGGCCGGGTCTGGAGCAAGCAGACAGCTTTTAGTGTTTCCGAATCAGGGAGTAGTGGGCAAGGGTGCAGAAAGGAGACGCAGGTGACAGCATGTATCACCTGTTACGCCTCAGAAAGGAAACCCGCGGTGAGCCTTGCTGTGGTCCCCACAGCCGAGGTTACTGCTCTACGGTCTGCTCTGGACCGAGGTCTAAGAACTGTGCCTTTACAGCCCAAATTGTTTGGTAAGGTTCGGGTTTGCAGTAATGTCTACCTCCCCAAGCAAATCAAATGGCATTTCTAAACATATTAGGAAACTTCGAGATGCCTCTTGAGTTGAATGGAATTTACTAATCAATAATAAAACTTCCAGTTATGACGGACCCCTTGATTTTCCACAGCAGGAAAATTCTTGCCGAACTAGCAGGAATTTTTCAAAAGTGGACGCAGCCGGGACACTTTCCTAGCTACTTTGTGCGAACAGACTGAGAATTTGCTTCCGCTGCTGCGAAGCTTGTCCACCTTTCTCACCGCAGCAACTCCAAAACAACAGAGCAAAGAGGAGCAGGCAGGAATAGGCCAGGCAAGTTCCGAAGGTTTGTAGAGAGTGTGATGTGTTGTTTGCAGCCAGAAAGTGAAATGCGGCTTCTCTCCCCTCCACGAGAACCCCTCCCCAGTATTGCTTCTTAGAATGGGTAGTAAAGAGGAAGAGGCTCTCGGGAACACACGACTAAAGGCCCGGGAGACCTGGAATGGGGTGAGGCAGCCAATCCCAGGCCCCGGGATCCGGATGGGCTGAGGCCCTAACATACCTTCCAGCGGGAAGCCGCTGCGTGGGTAATTCTGCCCCGGGCCGGGCCGCATCATCCTGGGCACAGCGCCGGCCAGCGTGGTCATCCTGGGGGCAGCTTCACTCGCAAATTATATCCAGGTGAAGGCGAGACGGAAAAGCGAGCGCAATGAGGCGGGTGACCCTCGGGAACTCTCCAGATCGCGGAGAGCTCCTCCCCAAAAAGAAGACTGGAGAGGAGAGAGAGGCGGGGCGCGGGGAAGGGGGGCTGCTAGCTCCTAGTCCACCCGCTCTAGAGGAGTCCCTAGAATGAAAGATCCTAAGCCCAAGGCGAACAAGTTTGGTGCGAGTCTGGCAGATAGGCCCCTCAACTGGGGCCACTGGCAAGGGTGCTCAAGGCGCCACGAAGATGGGGGCGGGAGGGTGGTGACGAGGCGGGAGCACGGCCCGAGTCTCCTCCCGTCGTGACACCGAGTGCACGGATCCGGACTAGGGAGCATTTATTAGTTCTTTCGCCCAAAGCTTGGTCAGGAGCCCTGAGCTGCGATTGGCCGATGAGGAGACCGTCCCGGGTGGCGAAGACTCGCGCTGATTGGGCGACAGAGGCTACTTTCTCTTCCCAGCCCTGACGGTGCCCAGGCCTCCACCGACCCGAAGGGGGACCAGCTCTGTGCCCCTTTCCCCGAGAGAAAAGGGTAGACAGGTTGAAATTGGAAGAGGCAGCCTGGGTGATGAGAGCGGCTGGGGCTGGTGAAGGGCTCGCCGTGTGTCTGTCACTCCACGTGTTTGTCTCTCTGATCTCTTTGGTTTTCCATTCCAGTCTCTCTGTTAAGTCTTTCTGTGTCTCTCTCGGAGAGGCTTGCTCTTTCTGTCTCCTATTTTCTCTGTCTGTCTCTACTTTTCACCTGTGGCTTTCTCTTCGGGCTGACTAACATGGGGCTAGGGGCGGAGTAGCTCGGAAGAGGGCTTAAGGAGTCCCGATTGGGTTTAGTGTTCCTTTCTCTGGTCTGCCTTGTGCCGGGGCTCGCTATGGGAGCCTCCCAGAGTGGCTCCCCTCGGGAAGAGTCCAGGATGTGCCCAGAAGGTCCTTTTTTCTTCCTTAGTCTGAAACTGATAGGTGGGGTAGCCTTAGACATAGCCGGCCGTGACTAGGCCTCCGAACTAGAAGTTGCAAACTGGAATGAGGGATTCAACTCTTATTTTTATTTTTTTTCCCGATTTAAAAGGCCTTCTGAAAAGTCGGGGACTCTAAATCACACATACAGATCGATCCCTGATGCTCATGCATCTATATGTTGAGGTTTTGCCCGGCTGCAGCGTTTGTTCTCAGGAATTTATTATGGCATTCAGACTAAACTGCTGGAAAAATAAAAGGAGCAAAGTCTTGGCTAGGAGCTGAAGTGTCCCCAGCAGGATATGACGCCAGGAGTGTTGTAAAGACTGTCTGTCCTTAGAGAAGGTACCATTGTGCATAGCCTTTTATTTATAACTTGGTAAGTGCCAGCGAACTCGCCTCCTTTACACCCCCGAGTGCCAGCCCTGCGTTCTGCTCCGCTCTTTATTCCCTCCCGTCTATTCAGGGACTGTCAGTCTGGGGCCGAGAGGTATTCAGGGCCTTAATCAATCAAAAGGATGAGAATCGGGCAGGTTTTTTCCCTTTGAAATAAAGGAAACAATGACTTCTGGGCTTCAAGTTCCCCTTTTCCCTTTTATGATATTTGAATTTTTCCTGCCCCTGAGTCCTCCACCCCTCTCTATGTCCCTCTACTCGCATCTCCTTTGACAGTTTTGACATGAACTCAGGCCCCCAATCCTACTTGCCCTGCCCTAATTAAGGCAAACTCCAGAGGCAAGATTGGTGGTGGGGAGGGTGCGGGTAACTGTTCAAAGTCCAGGAGCTGGCCCTTTAAGAGTCCACTCCCAGTGGGAAAAGCTGGGTAGTTCGGTGCTCCCCCTGAAGTCAAAAGGCTTCCTTGACCCTGGGAGCAGCCGAGACAGGCCTCTGGGGAATCCAGAAAACGTCTGGACACCCCACCCCCACCCACCCATACTTGAGGGAGGAGCATTTGAGTTCCCAGTGGAAAGCAGAGAAGCTGTTTGCCTGGAGTCCTGCTTAACCAAGTTTTTATATGAAATGATTCAATTTGTCAAGGGCCAAAACTTTCTCACATCTTTTTTCAGAATTAAGGTCCTTCAAAGTCTGGGTATTTGTTTTCTAAACCATGGGTACATCCCTAGTGACCAAGGAGTCAGACTTTTCCAAGTTTTTTGTCTCCCCATAGCTAAACATAGCCGGGCTTCCCATCTTGTAAGGTCAACTTTAATCCATGGGAGGAGGAAGGACCGAAGGTGAACTTCAAGAGGGTAAACTGAGGCTATACACTCAGTGAAAAAGGGTCCATATTTGAGGGTTAGAGCCCCGCTGGGGCCAAGCCTCCTCTCCTTTTTAATTCTAGGCTTCAGTGGTATATCCCCAGTTCTGACCCTGTTGAAGGGTCTGACCCTGCTGAAGGACTGACCCTGCTGAAGAGCCAGTCGTGGTGACCTGTTTGTAATGGGTGGATGCAGATTTCTTTCTGGGTTAAGAAAGTCCTCTGGGACACTTCCACCGAGGTATTGCCAGTTGAACATCTCCTGGGCGCTAGTTCAATAGTACATTCATACCTACCACCTGCTAGGAAAATGTTCGGGCAGAGGAGATGGGGTAGTGGTAGGGTCAAGGAGTGTATTCTTTCCCACCCCTACCCAGTGCTCTCCGGTCCACATGCCCCTAAAGGATAAAGGCTAACTCATCTCTGCACAGAAGTCCCCAGGGTCCTGAGGGCACTGAGTGAATTAAGCAGATGGGCCATTTCTAAAACTCCATGGCGAAGGCCAAGGCTGAGGATCTCCTGAGTGTGGCACCCAATGCCAAATCAAATCAGGCAAAGCAAACTTGGAAGAGGCACACAACAGGTTACTGCCGGGTCTGACAAGCCCTGGTTTCTGGAAGAAGGTTTGTTGGGGTCTTCCTTTTTTCACCAAATGTGTCTGGAAGCTGAAACCACCCTATCCCAACAGCCTGCATGGGGGAGTCTCCACCCACAGGGCTTGTCCCAGCTAGGAGCCGCTGGGCTACAAAGACAAGGTGTTCAATCTAGCCACAGTACAGCCCCTAATTGGGCAAACATGTGCCACTCGTGGATCTAGGATGGAGAATCCAGGTTTGGACAGCAGCACTCCTTCTCAGGCCCAGGGCGAACCTCAAATGTGTCTAGAGAAGTGCCTGCCACCATCCCGTGAATAACCCTGGCAGCCATCCCTGATATTCACATATTTGTAAAATGAAATTTGAGTCTTGAGGACAAAAATAGTATTATCTAGCTCCTGTGACAAGTGGGGATTGAAGAAGGGAACATTGCAGTTGACTCCTGTATCCACACCCCCCCACACACACATACACTTTAGAGGTGTTTCGGGTATTGTAGATAAAACTGACAATCCAAGCCTGAGTGAACTGTACTTATTTCTTAGTTCCCAAGTGGATATGGACCTGGGACTCTACATCGCAAAAGCCTGAAGTGGCTTCTGATGGGGCACGTTTCTCTATGTATCCTTTCACTTGTGGGGGGTGGGGTCCGTGCATGGGCTTCTCCAGGACCCTCGGAGATGACCTCGCTTCCAGTAGGACGGAAGTCCCAACCCGGAATTATAATTAATGTAAAATAATGTTAAGAGAGAGGGAAGTATAGTGGTGGTGAAGGCCCCCAGGGCTCTCTCTGTCGGGGCTGGTGGGGAGAGACGCTGAGACATGGACCGGCAGCCCACGGGGGTGGGAGGTAGAGGTTGCTTGACTGCGCCGCTGGGCGGCAGGATACAGTGGGACAACTGAGTAAGAATCTTCAGTTCTACAAAAAGGAGTCTAAAGAAACTCTAGATTCCAAGTCGTGAGCTTCCCAACCAACAGTGTTACCTACTGGTGAATGTGTGGGTTAAACCCGTGGAGCAGCGCGCCCACCACAGCATCAAGGACGGTCATTTTGCAACCCAGCTCCACAGTCGCTTGTCAAAAGCGTTGGCGCCGCTTTTCTCTTCATCAAAAAAAAAAAAAAAATCAGGCAGGTTGAGCTCGGATTTAGGAACAAGATGCGGATCTTGAAATGTCTGGGTGAACCACAGCGGGTTTGTCCTTGTCATGCCCCTGTAGCAGAGGGGTCCTTGGAGAGCTACGAGCGGGTTCGCAATAAAGAACATATGGTTTGTGGGAAAGAAAGGGGAAAGGAAAAGGAAAAAGGAAAGGAAAAGAGACAAAGAGAAAAAATTTTAGACCAAACTGAAAACCAATAGAATAGGCAGAAACTGCGTTTCTGTAGTCTTACAGAAGATCATTTGCAAGATTTATCTTTAAATAAACACAGATGGTCATCTGGCACAGTCGGAAAAGTCTTACAAAATATGATGACAATAATAATAATAACAGTAACAGTAATAATAGTAATAATCACAATAATAATATATTAATCCTCTCTGCACGCGTCGATGGGAGTAAACTGAGGAGGAGGAGGACTTTATCTCTAAAAGAGCCGATTTCGTGACAGCCTGTGCTCATAGATCTGACTCTGGTGTGTCTGTGGTTAGGGGGGGAAGGCGAAAGGGCTTTCCTTAGCCTGAGGACTGACTGACTGGTACCCAGAGCAGCCTGGGTTGCCTTTGTGCAGAGGCAGGCGGAGAGGCTGAGTCCGGGATAAGAGAAGTGAGTCAGAGAGAAGCAAGGTCTACAAACTTTCTAAAGACTGCTGACTGGAACAAAAAAAGTAGGCAAATGGCCCTCCCAGGAGCTCCTGGTCCGGGGAGACTGGACTTAAGTTTCCGGACTGTGAATCCTGCTCTGCTCTAGGGGCTGACAAAGTGGTGGAGAAGCAAAGCGGAGGTGAGGTGGCGGGGCGAGGAGACAGGCCTGTCGCTGGAATGAGTGCGAACCTGTTTCTGAGTCATCCCGGTGCTGGCGTCAGGGCCGTAGGGTGACACAGCTCCTCTGGATCCGAGCCCTTCGACTTACAGGAGATTTTTGTAATGATTTCAATCGGAGGGATGAGGGTTAGTTAATTAATAGGAACAAAAAGGGAGAAAACTCGAAAGCCAGTGTTCAACTGCAGGGTGCCCCTCGCCGAGCCTGGACGCTAGTTACAGGGGAGTCGTGGCAGCAGCTGGAGACCGCGGGCAGCGAGTGTGCCCCCAGCTCTGCGACCCGGGGACTTTAAAGGCAGGAGTGGAGCAGGAGACACAGAACGCGCTGAGCAGAGAAATCTCAACAGGT